TAATATTCAATTAGTAAAATTTTTATTGACTTTAGCAGATGCCTTAAAATGTCTGGTTATGATGATGTTGCTGCTGCTTCTGCATCGAGTACAAACAAAACAAACAAATTCATTGCCACTTTCTTTCCTCCTCTTAAATGCATCATTGCGTTCCGAAATAAGTAGCAGAATAAACAGTTATTGTTGCCCACATCATATGCAATGAGATAGAACGGAGTTCCATCATAAAATATACATGAAAATGGAAGTGGACGTATATGAGAGAAACACAATGAGTAATGCCAAAAAAGTGCATTGTTGTACCAAAGAAAAAAAAGAACATTGGAATTGTCTGTTGTGTATTGCTGTTAGCTTGATATCTGGGCGAAGTTTGAAGCATGCATTTTGGGATCTTGTAAGCTGTGATTGTTATTTGGTATTTATGGGAATCTGAGGTTAGGATTTGTAGCTGTCGATTTGTATTAATGTGGAGGAGGATGAACATGAGAAATGAATGAGATTTTTTCAGGCAGTCAATTGATGACCTTGGAATCTTTAAATTTACAATGAAAGTAGCGGAAGTTTTGAATTGAGTTCAAGGTTTCAGTTGATTAGTATTGGAATTAGATTTATAAAATTAATGGAATTGGAATTTTTCGAAAGCAGTTCAAGGAGAAGGTTTACTGGTTAACGTACGCCATCCTCTATTGGTAACTGTTGACAATTAAAAGCAAAAGTGTCGCCTGAGACCATTCAAAAAATTTTTGAATTAAAATTTTAGTCTTTTTGGTCCAATCCAAGACCAAGATCCCGTTCTTCTTAGCAGCGCTTCTGTTAAGATATTAATTAAGTTACAGATAACAAGCTATTCCAATTCTAAAAGCAGATTTAATTCAATTCGACTTTATATTTCAAAATGTCCACCCAGTCTAATAATTATGCGCTTTTGCATGACATCCAAAGACTGTTTAAACTGTCAAAGTCTCGCATTGCACTGTTGGAGCAAAAATAAGTCCAAACAAACTTGCCAGTCCATACACGATTCAAAGTAAAAAGTGAATAAAAAGAAGAACTTAAAATATAAATAAAGCAACAAACATCATGAATAATTACTTAGTTATGCTACATTAGTCAGCTTTAGAATAAATAAAATGTGAATGAATCGAGGTATTATTTCTCCAAACCCTAAAAAAATAATTTTTTCCATTCCTTCAATGTGCTATGATTAAAATCAACAAATACTGCGCTTAAATTTCTTTTATATAAATTCAAATCATTGCTAGGCAAATTTATGTGTCGTATAAGAATTTGTTTCGCTTGAACGAACTTTTTTCAGGAGAATCAAAAGAAGAAGAAACGAAAATCATCACTTAAAGTCGCATTTTTTGAGTCTCGAACCGTCTTGATTAGTAACGGTGAAAGTTATTTGACGTGATTTAAACTGTATTCTTTGGATTTTCAATAAGTGAAATTATGTACTTAACCGAGCGACACATGAGGATTGTGGATGGATGGAAGATCTACTTTGGGATGGAATATGGAGCATCCAAAGCAGTTGTTCTCCACATTTTGAGTCACAAAATAGTAAATCTTTTATTAAGTGTAAATTGGGCTTTAAACACGTAACAGAAGGTCCTGGCGACAAGCTAGTGTATCACGGACCATAGCTTGAGAAGCACTGGTGATTCAGCACGCTTATAATTTTTTTATTGCCATTTTCTTATTCTCAAACTACTCAAGCAATTTAACGTTTCAAATATGAATTGTATGAAGTTTTAATTAATCAATTATGTGCAGTTCGGGTTCCAATGGATCAAACGACACAGCGGAACAAAAAATTTCATTTATCAACTGATAAAAGCTAAGCATTTCCGAATGGTATTTACATTATGAGGTGTATTACATGAACATTATATGTGATAAATGCTGCTTACGTTGAATTCTATTGAATTGTTGACTTAACTGAATTCACACGATTTATTTGATGATGATAGCACACAATTCGTTGTTAAAAGGTATTATGTTATAATGCAGGAACTAATTGAATTGTACATTATGAAAGAAACTCGTCAAAAATGACTGACAAAGTGAAAATGCAAGTTTGATTCTTAGACTAGAAACATGAGGAGTTTAAGGTTTTGTAAATAATGTTAAATAAGGAATTTGTAGAACAGTAATGTTCAATGCGCACCTTAAAAAATATATCAGGCGTCTCGAAAAATATAGAAAGACACAACAATGGCAAAAAAAACTTCAAGGACAAACCTCTCAAATATGAACAAATTCACAGAAATTGCATAATAATGCGCCAAAGAGCATGTCTAAAAATGCTCTTAAGACCACACAATTAATAACAAAGCAGCATAACATGACACGATACTACAGCTTAAAATGATAATCGGGTAATAATAAGAAGAAACTTTACATTATAAAAGTTTAATTTATTGCTCATAATTTTCGAGATTCAATGGATTAATAATAGATGGAATGAGAGAACGAATCGCTTGAGTCATCAACAACAATTCACGAAAAATTTTTGGTAAAGCATTTAAATATTTATAGACACGATACTGATAAGAGTCTATAAACTCATTTTTCTCCTTTTCATTTCTTCTTTTTCCGTGTCATTCATTTCACAAATTATCTCTCATCTGTCATACAATATATTTATTACATTATTGCTACGCACAATTTATGAATGAGAAATAAAACAACATGAAAATGGAATTTAAATCTAATTTTGAAAAGCAAAAGTAAGAAAAGGAGAGACTGGATTTGTGATTATTGGATGGAGGTTGTTAAGGCGCACTTGGTAATTGAAGAATTAAGTTTGTAGATAAAGTAGGACTTGGAATTAAAGGTTTATTAACTATACTGATGTAGTTGAATAGCTAATAAAGTCTGACTTGAGCCCAATGTTAGCAAAGAGAACTGAGTCCGTTACAAACAAAAAAAAAAATTCAAAATTTTTGCGCGGTATTTTTATTAAAATTTCAAAATATGAAAGTCCGTTACTTTTTATTTTTTTTAAACTAGCTGTTTTTTAAAGCATAAACATTTAAGGAATGCAATTTCATCACAGTGATTATCTTAATCATAAAAACTAGTAGGAATGTTCACTAAAATTACAAATTACTCGAAAAATAATAATTCACAACTAATTTTTTTAAAAATAAGAACATCGAAGATTCGATTTTCGAAAAATAAGAAACTCAAAAATTCGAAGTTCGAATAATAAGAACTCAAAAATTTCTGTTTGCTAGCATTGGATTTGAGCAATTTAGTATTAAGATTCGGCAAAATAAAGAACTAGCTTTAGTAATCTCGAACAAAAGACTAGATATAATGAACAGTTAATAACGAGGCGTAATTTCAACTAGTGACAAAGTTTACAAAAAACTGCTAATATTATGATGTTTAACGTCAAACTTTAGAATCATGTTATGGCCCAAGTTTTCTAAAAATCAATCAAAAGAAAGGTTTTACTTCAAGGATCCTATTATTTGGCTATAAAGCCAACTAGTCAAATTAAATGAGAGCTAATCGTAAGGCATCTTTGATTTTGACTCTTAAGAAATTTTAAGAGAGGTTCAAATCCTTTTGAACAACATCAGAATATCTGCAGCCAAATCATCAGACATTCATACATTTACCTTATTCAATGCTCATTTCATAAAAATCAAGCTTCAAATTCGCATTTTAAAATTTTTTATAAAAATTATATACGCGCCAAAATAAGACAATAGGATACGATAAAACGAGCCATTTGGAATTTAATAAACAACAAAAATCTGTTTCACTCATTTCTCGTCTCGTATGAATGACAAATAAAATATTTCATTTCTTTACTTTGCCTCTGCTTTCAAGTTGTTCTGGGGATGAGGATTTTTTTTTTGAAGGATTGCTGTCATTGTTTTTATTGTTTTGAGAAATCTAACAAGAGTTTTGACGGAGTTTGCTTTCAACTTGAAAGTGATGAAAATTAAATGACGAAAACTTTTGTAATAAATTTTGGAATTTTTTTTATGGCCCGGAATTTAAATATTTTTGGATTAGGAAATTCTTAGCGAGTCTTTGTGTTAAGTATTATAGCAGAGTAGAATCTGCAGTATCGAGCCATATGAAGGCGATTCTGTCAAAGTGATAGTAAGACCTGTCTCGAATAGAAGTTAGCCAACAGACCCCGTTTGTAAGGACGTTGGTTCGATTCCCACAAGATACCAATCTCTTAATTATTACATAGAGTCTTTTATGTTGTAGATATGACAAGGATTCGCACAGCGATTCCTTCATTTCATTAAATAAAGCAAAGATTGCAGAGAGTCAGACACAACATCTGATTTCCCTCTCATATTCTTAAATTTACATCATCATTCACATTACATTCAATCATTCACTTCCAAAAAATGCGTTTTACATCCAAACATTAAAGCAATAAGCTTTATTTTTGACACATTCAACCTCCTATGCTTTATATTAAATAAATGAAATGCAGGAAGAAACGAGAGCAATATATTTTAAAGATGATGTAGACTCATAACTTCTATTTATGGTTTATCATCATCCATTGTCTTGTGCTTTTCATTTCATTCATCTTTCTTGTTTTTTCGGAGCTGTTATCATAATTTTTCAGGATTACATCCGTGTCGGAATATTTCTTTCTGCGTATGCACGCGTTTTTAAAAACAATAAAGTAATTTTTTTGACTGCCGTACGGAAACATTCATCAAATGGATGTCAGATAATTTTTTTAGGGTGATTTTTGTCAGAAAATTCTGAATTTTTTGCAGAATGATTCAGCATTGTTGTAATTATTTGATGGATGAGGCTGAAAAATCTGACAAAGTTCCCACATCACCAGAAAATGTGTTCCTGTATTCATTTTCACTTCTTTCCAAGACAGCACAGGAAAGTGCCATGATGGGTGTCAAGAAAGTTTCAATCGTCACAATACCCTCCCAATTTTGATACAATCATGTGGGACCCAAAATATAAATAAAATTACAACTTTTAGAACTCACCGTCATGTATTCATCCAACCGATGTTTCCAATTGTCGCTTCGATTGATTAAATGATTCCATTGTTCTGTCAACTTTGCCACTTCACGTCGAATACTTCGCGTGAGTTCACGATTTTGATCTTCAGCTGATAAGTACCGAGAATCGGCATCAAATGCTGTGCATAAAAGAAGACAAAATTCAATGAATAAGTTCCAATAATGAAAACAGAAATACAAACCTTCAGAGTCGCTTGTATCTGATAATGGTGGTTCACTCGCAACATATTGTCGTCCACTCAGCAAATTGCTTTCAACAATTGGTCTTTTATCTTCTAGTTGTCGTCTAAATGCCTTGTGATCATCCTTTTATTTTGTTGTTGGAAATGAGATGAGAAAATTAGATTAAATTGAAATTTTTTAGGTTATGTTATTTTAAGGTTATGATTATTCTAGTTTTTATCTTATTTGAATGTCTCAACTAATGTTATCGCTTCGCTGGATGTTTGTTTAAAGGTCTATATAAATAAAGCATTTGTTTATTTTAGTAGAATAAGTTGCATAGCGTGAAAATAATGAACTCATGCTGAATAGAACATCCAAAAATGTCAAGAATCTTAAAGCTTCCTACTCAAAAAACTTCCATCTTAATTCAAGTCCGTCCATAACATTTCAACTATCTCTCCGAGCCAATTTAAATCTCAACCTAATTATTTAAATTTATTTCTTCATAAACAAATTTCAAGCAGATCAGGAACTGAAATAAATATTTCATGAAAATTAAATTTCATTCCATTTTCACTTTCCGTGCAAGTTCCGCGTTTGTTAATATTTCATGATATTGTTAACATAGAAAAGATTCTCTTTTTATTTTTTGTGTACATTCTTTTCCTTCATTTCGTTCCATTACAATGATGAAAAGAAGTGGAATTTTTTGTTTAACATTCTCAACATTAACTTAAACATTCCCGAGGATATTTTAGCACGTCTCTGTGGGAATAACATTCAAGTTGTACAGCACATAGAAATAGAACAAAATAGAAAAGAAAACTAGCACAAAACAACCACTTAAGATAAATGCTAACAGCATTATTGCTTCCTTTCTTCCTCCCTGTGTGTATTTTTCATTTTCTTCGTCTTCTTAATTCATTTGATTTCATAAAAAATCATTACTCAATACACAATTGCTATGCGGCTGAGTTTCTGTGCTTAATAAGATAACAATTCAATTTCTCAAAATGACAATTTTTGTGCACAACAAAACAATTTTTAGGAAGCAATATTTTCGGACATAAAGGAGTGACTATGATGTACATTATTTCTGGTTGGCTAGTGTTGACGTCATGGCTGATATTTATTTAAATATGGTAAAATAAGTTAAGTCTAAGCTTGAAGAAACCAAATCTCAGTTTTTATTTGAAATGTTCTAAATTTGTTGATTCTGTTCCTTGAAGCAAGTCTGTGTACCTGATGTTCAGATAGGAACATAAATTAATTGATTCCAAAGCTTGAAACTTTTACTCACATTTTCCTTAAAACTTTATATGACACAGGATAGTGTGTGTCTGTGCATAGACCCAATTAAAGTAGGAGCTCCTGTAATTTCGTGAGGATTGTTCGGAACCTTAGACATGTCAACAATATTTTGTAATAATTGAGAGAGATGAACCCATGCTAGGAATCGAACTCACGTTATTGGAAAAAGAGTTCAATATTTCAGCTCTGTGTCTATTCAGCTATTGATGCTTTACTTCGCAATGAGAGATTCACTTGCATTTAGTTTGAAACCTTAGATTTCACGCTTATCAATCACCATGTCTTTCATCAATGTCTTTTGTTCCGAGCAACTAATGTTTGAATATTCTATTATCCTCAACAAGATCATCAGATTACAAATGTCCACATTAAATTCCATCTAAACCGCCACGTGATTTAAAACTATTATCAGTGACATTTTGTACTTGATTCCTCTCCTTATTCCCAATTTCACTCTTTCTATCATCATCATCGTCATTGTTATATTATGTACACTAGCAAAACCAACCAGCAAGCTACAATATAAAGCACGATAAAGAAGGAATTCCTTTTCTTCATTCTTCTTTTCAGTTTGAAGAATGCTTTCCGACCGACTCACATTCCATTTTGACTTTGGATTCGATGTCATGAACATTAAACTAAGATTTTTCTTCTCCTTTCCCTTTTTTTCTGCTCTTTCAAGCTCAAATAAGAAGCAAAGCTTTGAATTGATTCCTTCTTTTTCTGCTATTTGATTTTGCCATTAAAGTCAAATAAAGAAAATGAAATGATACAAATTTGTAGTATTTGAGGATGGAGATTTTTTTATACATGTCTATTGGGTCGTGGTGCTACTGCTTTCTTTTAAAAAGGGATGGATGGATCGTTTTTATATCAATGGAAATTTTTCTTCTTTTATTTTTTGTTGCGACATTTATGGCATTTTATGTACATCTTAATATTGTAAGGAATAAATATAAAATGATGAAAAAAATTCTACATATGTCTTTTTTGTGGAACTATGTGCGTGGATGCGGGGGGCAATAAGGATATATCTGAATATTTATGCATATGGATAAAGATTTGCATGTTATTCGTAGTTAAATTCTTGTGACCGTCATAAACTTGAAATATTTTGTTGGAATTTCATCTTCTTTTAAAGCTTTCAAGCAGCTTTAACTTTAAGATGTGAGGAATTGTTATAAGGTATGGAGGTTTTTGGATTTTATGAGAAATTATGACAGATTTGGAATATATATGATTAATGTCACTTTAAGTTTGAGTGGGGCTTAGCTTTGACGCTTAGCTCGAGTAAGTCACTGTTTTAAGGATCAGTTTGAGTAAGTCATTGCTTTGACGCTCAACTTGAGTAAGTTGTTGCTTTGACACTCAGCTTGAGTAAGTCGTTGCTTTGAGGCTCAACTTGAGTAAGTCAACATTGAATTAAATAAAGGATTATTATTATTGAGTAAGTCGTCGCTTTGACGCTCAGCATAAATACGTGGTTGCTTTGACGCTCAGCATAAATAAGTATTTGCTTTGACGCCCAGCATAAATAAGTCGTTGCTTCGACGCTCAGCTTAAAAAAGTCGTTGCTTAGACGCTCAGCTTGAGTAAGTCGTAGCTTTGACAATCAGTTTGAGTAAATCGTTGTTTTGAGGCTCAGCTTGAGTTAATCATTGCTTTGACGCTCAGCTTGATTAAATTTTTTTGCTTTTATACTCAGCTTGAATAAGTCGTTGCTTTGACACTAACTTTGAGGAAGTCATTGCTTCGACGCTCAGCTCGAGTAAGTCATTGCTTTGATGCTCAGCTTGAGTAACATATTAAGTTCTCATTTTTATTTTTAATTTAAAACCCAACATTAGATATTAAGATAAGGGTTCAATCCCATAGCAAATTCTTTAAGCAATTCAATTTTTCATCCCCATTTCATATTCACCACAAATTTGATCGAAATCTTCCATCACAAAACGGGTACAAAATGAAAAATTCTTCTACATTTAAATCACTATAATACCCATCGAATCATATATTATATTCATACATGGATATACATATTTTACAACTATCTGAATGATGATGAGGTCTGTATATCGCAGAGAATAAAAAGAAATATTATTTTCATTCTCATTCATCGATTTTCATTTACATCCCCCCATTATATATGTATACACATATAAACTTGTATATTGAAAAATTCATGAAACATTTCATTTAAATGAAAGTGTTCAACTGAGGGAAATTGAAAGAACATCAATCATATGGTGGTGACGGTTTGAAAATGAAAAAAATATTTAGCATGTAAAAAGAGATGAAAGAGCTTATGAGCAAGCTTCACAATTTGTAAATATCCAAAAAACTGTAAGACTGAAATCGATCATAGTTGAGATATACAAACAAGCGCCATCTTAATGTGAAATTCTTAAACTTACCAATTGCTTTGCTAAACTTGCTGCATCGCCGCGTACGGGACTATGACTTAACGATGATAGTTCAGTGTCTTTTCTGATAACCCACTCGGTCATTTCTCGTAGGGATAGTAGTAATGCACTCCAATGCTCGGAATTTGACTCTAGACGATTTCTGTGGGTTGAAAAAAATTAATATTTGAAACGAGATATTGTGAAGGTAATATGATCTAGAATATAATTTTATGAATTATTCAATTCAAGACACAACGACATTCATGGATGTCATTCTATTATTTTTATTATGCAGCACTAAAGTAATTTCTTGGAAGTTCAATGAATCATTAAATGAATTTGATTATTAGATTGATTTGAGCAATATACTTAGGCAGCAGGTAGGGGGTTCTAGTTTTAAACCAAGAAAACCTAAAATTGTCCAAACATCTTGCTGAAATGTTCACAACATACAAGACAGTTCAAATCATGTTATCAGCATCAAATCTAAGAATATATCCTCTGATTTATGATATCCTCTAAGTCCAAGACTTAAAACAAAAGCATCATTATATCCCCTTTAATATTTCCCATTTAAAGACACACACAGCATATACCACAACTTCCCACATTCCATCACAACAAAGCATCTCCGCAAAACACAAAAAGACAATTTCAATCTACTAATTCCTTCAGCATAACGATCAATTATGTTGATGTAGTGATTCTTGTGATTTTTTTTCCATCTCTTTCAATTCTCTTATTTCCCTATTTAATGTCACATGAGACTTTATTATTTACTGAACATGCTTATATGTATCCATCTATCTCTAACAAAAATGTAGAAGCATGATGAATAAAAAAAGGATTTTCATTTCATTTCATTTCTTTCAATGACATCATTACCAACGTTTATGTATATAGACTAAAGAGTCATAAACAGAAAATTTTTATTGCATTCCTTCCTTCCGCTATCTCTGTCTTGCTTACTCTCATTGCGTACTTTATGTCAATTTTCAATGTGAATGTTTCAGTGCAGTAAAAAGGATTTTTTTTTAAATGCTCAGTTCTTAGGAGAGTTTAGTTAAGGGATGTTGTCAAATTGGAAGCAAGTTTTAAAGGTGATGCATTTGATTGACTTAATGCTTGTGATTTTGGAAAAGAGAAGCTCGAAGTTTGAATAACCGAAGCAATGGCATGTTAGAATGTACTAGTATTCAATGTTTAGTATGTTGAATAAAGCAATGAAGGCTTCTGGTTGGTGCTAATCAGTATTCACAACTAAACGAGCATCCTCTTAGTATGTGAGGGTTCAATGCTTAGCTTCAGGGTTGTCAGATAGGTACCTTTGAAAAGGTGCCTCAACGGAGCATGGTAGCTTTTGCCTTTGTCTAGTCAACACCTAAGTAGAGGCAAGCCTAGCTAAAGGCAAAAAGTGTGTCTAGTCAAAGGTACTGCCTAGCCACAGGCACTACCTAGAAATAGCTTTTGCCTAACTCAACGAGTAAGACTAAAGGTAAAAGGCAATTTCTATAGTAGATTTGATCTTACAAAGGCAGTGCCTTTGGCTAGGTATTGCCTTTGACTAGGTAATGCCTGGGATAGATTTTTGCCTTTGATAGGAATTCGATAGGTGACAACTTTGCTTAGCTTAAACTTAAATATGTGAATTTTTTGACAAGAGTTGCAATACATCTGCATCTGTCACAGATATTGTCTGTTAACAGATCTGTACCTGTGACAGATCGCAACTCTGTGTTTGACGAAGTTGTCATTTTTAAATGAACATCAAAAAACAAACTACATCTAAATCATAGAAGACAATAAAGAATGCTAAATGCTACAACAACAATTTTTGTACGCATGATGCTCTAAAATTTAATGAATTGTTTATTAATTTGTGGTATAGTCATCATGTGGGTTGTGTTGCTATTCGAATATCGATTGTGGAATTTTGTGAATGTTTATTAGCTTTAATTTGACAATTTTTTGTTTACATTAGGAATTTTGTGTTGTGACACGAGATTAAAGTGTTTGAGTTTTTAATTTTGAGGTTAGGATTCAAAATTATCAGAAAATGCTATTTTTTGAAGAATTTTAAAACTTTAGAATTGAAATTTATTATTTTCACAAATAATAAATTCACCGTGTTAATAGAATTATTCACAGACTCTAGAGCACATAAACATCCACACATAAATATATTTTCAGTGATAATAATTTTTTGGCTTTTATGGATTGATAATTAGTAAAAATTTATAGATGCATGTAGAGAGTTAGATATGAAATTTATACCTCAGGTACGATGATAATTTGTTTATTGAATTACTGAATTTTCCCTGCAGACATAATGAAATACACAGCAACATACACATTGAAATTGATGATTAGATAATGGATTTTTTTTTAAAAAAAAGTTATTGATTATTGCTAGAGATATTTGGATGCAATGTCATATTAGGAAATGAAACTTTTGTGGATGTGTGCTTTATTTGTTAATTGAATCTTTTAAGAGAAGCTGTTTGTAGTTAAATGTTGAATATAGTTTAGGCAGGGATTGAGCTATTCGGGGGACAGAACTTGCTAGGATACAATTAAGTATTGATACAAAATACTCAAGTTTTTTAAGGTTAAATGATTGAAATAGGTCAGAACCCAGTTTCATGGCAGTTCGGATTCTGCTATTTTGTAACATTTAATTTTTGGCTTCAAGAATCAACTCAAAAATTTACACCACCTTAAATTAATATGCACAATTTAAATTAAAATTTGAAATATCTAATGGAATGCTAAGAATTCTTTCTAGCTGATGGCTAGTGCAGCTTTGTTGTCTAATTAAAGCCATGATGCTTGATTGAACCTTTAGCAAAAGCTATTCAGGGTACACTTGGATTGAAAATCATTGAACTCTTCTTTGAAAGATAAACAAAAATCGACTAAGACTAGATTAGGACTAGGTTTTTTTATAAAAACTGATCCAAAAGGCTGCATCAAACATGTTTATGCTTAACATCAATTTTATAAATTTTTAATCAATTCATTTTAACCCTCAAAAAAATCCTTTCATCTCTTTCATTTTCATTTGGTATTTAATTTTTTATAGGTATGACAAAATTAGCTTGGTTGATGAAATTCCCAAATGATGCTTAAAAGTAAACTTTAATGAGATGAAAAAAAAAAAACTCTCGGATTTCTCAATTGGGAATTTCTATATCTACGTATATGTATCGTTGGCATTTATACACAACATTTTTCCTCTCATCTCATTCATTCATTCGTTCACATTGTCAACCAGAGCATCAACAGCGGTAGCAGCAACATCCTCATCCTGTATGTCTCTCGCTCAATTTTTTTTTGCATACCGCTATTTTGTGATGTGAAAAGTACTCAGTTGGTAAATAATTTATATGAATGAAATGAATAATTCTTTTCGCTGTCGCACAGATGATGCATTGCGATTCCACTTTAATAGATTTACGTTTTGGATGAGATAAATAAAATAAAATAAAAAAGTTTTGAGTGGAAAGGAGATGAAGAAAGGAAAAAATTTGCATACTCGAATTTTTTTTATGAAATTAAAAGCAGAAATGAAGACACTTGAGGAATTGGGATTAAATTGTTGTTAATTTAGAAAGTAGATGCAAAAATATGCAATTTTGAGGAATGATAGATTTAAGTTGATTTGCGGATGATAAGAGGAGAGTAAATTTTAAAGGATGTATGAAACGTTGATTTCAAGTTATAGAAACTAGTTTTTTTTTTTCAATCTAATAACTTTACGCTGGGTAGCCCACATTAGGTTTGACTGTGATTAGAGCCAAAGCTCCCTTATAGAGTCAAAATATCATCAAAGTGCTAGTATTTCTCTTCTAATCTTATTTCTAAGTAATTCCATGTCTTTAGTATCTAGTGATATCTTTATTTGACTAGTTTAAAGGTTAAGTCAAATAGTTTCACGAGCTAGTAGCCATTTTACAATATTTAAATCAGACTACCGCCATTTCGTTTCGGACTTCTTCGAAATTAATTTCGATTTCTTCGATATTAGAGCCGAAAATTCAAATTTCAAAAAACAGTTACATTATGTAAACAATAAATTATTTTAATTAATACCAATTCTGCACAAATCCCAAAGTTCTTCATAAATTATTAATTTTATATTTTTTTTATCCATTCTCAATTTTATTAACAATAAAATTTAAGCAAAATGAGTAAGTGCATGGTAAAATCTGGTTTAACCGTCAAAAATGTTTGAATATTATAACGGTCATAAAAAATTTGAATTTTTTTGAATATAAATTTAACGGATGTTATATGAAATGACGGTAGTCTGATTTAAATCTCAATCTTGTGCTTCTTTATCTCTAGGGGTGGCGAACAGAGCTATTACCGCTAAATTCGGAAAAATTTGAATACATTTTTAAAATTCAATAACACAAACATAAAATATTCGAATGTAAACATTGAAAATGTTTCATTGAAATTGGACTTAATTTCAACAAATTTTGTGTACAGGACATGATAAGTTGCTTAATACAGCTTTAGTAATGATTAATGGATGCTTTAAACGAGCTTTAAAGTATGATTTATTGGATAAATTGCAAAAAATTCAAAAGTACAATTTTGTTTGTGTTAGTGTACCTTATGTTTCGAAATTCAAAATTTAAAAATTAACGGTAAAATAAGGTACCTTTCGAAATTCATAATCGAAAAAATAAGGACCGTTTGCCACCCTTGGCTTTATCTGTGTCTAATAAACCAGTGCATAAAACTAAGCAAAATCTAACAAACAAACAACTTAACTTAATCTAAGCTATGATCCACTAGACTTAGAGTGTGACTAAGTTTGAATAACTCATAAAACTTTAAATAACCTTTAAAATCACAGATCTTGACGATAAGAAGACCAAAACTCACCTTATAGCTAAACTCTTTGACTTCAAATGATTCCAACGTTGATTCATCTCATCTAATCGTCTCTGAAGCATAATAGCATCTTCCTGCGATGTAAGTGAACCGAGCAATTTCCTTCCAGTGCCATCGAGTCTATCATAAACTACACGATGTGCTTCAATTTCTGATTGTAAGTCCTGTAAAGAAGGAGAGAAAGAAAAAAAGTTGGAGATGAAATATTTCTCGTCATTAGAAAATATATAAAAACAGAAGAGGAAATGCGCTTATGCATGAAAAATATGTGCATATTTTTATTTAATTACATCTCGCAGTCATCGCTAGTTGCAATTTAAACCTATTAATGAAACGACATAAGGTTGAATGAGCTTTTGAGAGTTTCTTGCTGAAGCTATTAATTTTTTTTTTAAATCCTCGCCTTCGCATGAAATGATAACCTGCTTACGACAACGACGATGATGATTTTTTTAAGTTACGTTAGTTTCCATGGTAGAAAAGCATGTACATTTTATGGTAGTAAATATAAAAATGGAATTAAATGGAAGAAAAAGGGGGAGAATGTAAAAGAATGCATTTAGACTTTTAACTTGAGCCATAAATTTACATTCGTTGAAAGCTTTTTCTCCTCTACTATTTCACTTTTCTCTTTCTGTGACACTGTGGGACATAAACTGTTTACTCTTGTGTCTCGTGCTAATTCAATGATTATTGTTTTCAGGGAGTGACAATGTTGAAACTAGATGGAAGTTATGGTGCTGTATTCATCTTACTGTAGCTATTAAATCGGAATCCAACTCATTTCCAAAATGAGGTTGATAAATAATTTCGAAAAAAAAAAAATTAAAAGCTTTCAGTCAAAGATTCCTAGTACTTTATCAAAATTTTTTACAATTCACAAAATTTGAATTTTTTGAAGTCTATGAGCCGGTTGAAGAGGCTGACGAGGCTATATCTTTGCTAGGATCGAAATCCAGATACCATAAACGATGGAATATGTATCAAAACTTTTATGATTAGGAACAAGTGCAATAACATACTCTTGAGACTTATCCAATTCACAATGTTATACCGCAATATACAATATTGACAAAATTGTACTAGTGGATACAAATTGAACAGTTACTGCCTTTGTAAAGGCAATTTTTTTCGCTTTTGGCTTTTTTATGCCTTTGATTTTGCTAGATCAAAGGCAAAATCTGGTCAAAGGCAACTTTAGACCAACACTGGTTATATCTTTTCTGCTTTCCCTAGTTTAACAGCAGAAACAAAGCGTAAGAATCAAACAGTTTCAATTAATTTTCATCGTAGAAATCTAGTCCAAGGATTGATGCGTTAAATGAAGCTTAATTTACTTCTGTACATTTAAAATCGAAGTCACTTCCACACTGATTTCATGCTTCATTTCATATCAACAATTATACATTAAGCAATATATCCTCAACATATCATGTAACCCATTAGAGAGAAACAACTGCAGAAAAAGCCATATTTTTTGTGGAACATGACTTCAAAAAAAAAAAATTTATTACCAAAAACAGCTGAAATTCATTTTCTCATTTCCATGCTTTAATTCATGTTTGCATTTAAAGTCGTTTATGTAATGTGATGAAAAGATAGTTTTAAAAAGTACAGAATAAAAAAAGTTTTAATGATGAAAACACCAGCACAGAACAAGGACATTTAAAAAAAATTCGAGAGGAACTTTGTGTGGTTTCTGTGACCACAACAGACAAAGAGACAGAGAAATTTATACTGTAAATTATTAAGCATAACAACAATAGTTAAGCACATACACACGAAAAAGGAATTATGTTTTGTGGAACCACCACACAAGAATGAAACAACCAGCACAAAAGAATTTTTTTTTGTGTTCTTAATTTCAAAGGCAAAACCAAAAATCCTTTATGTCCTTTTCCATCGATGTATTTGTGTTTGTGTGCGTGCTGTTCCGTTAAAACAAATTGTCAAGCTTTACGGAGGAAATCTTTCAGTTTTCTGGTCATTTTTTCTTTATTATGTTTATAAGGAAATAGCTCATTGAAGTGTGGATTTTGTGTGGGAAGTTGTGGTGCTGGAGAATATTAGTAGACGCATTTTGTAGAATTGTGGAACTGACAGTTGTTTAATGGATTAAAAATGCGAATTTTACAGTTTGGTGATTTCAAAAGTTATATGTCTGAAGAGTAAGGTTTCCTAATGATAGAGGACATACGCTTTAAGCAAATTTAGGTAATAATGGCTGTGTTTAGTAACTGAAATGTGATTTTGTGTTGCATGTGATTTACCGAAGACTAAGAGCTTCAGAGGGCATCTTCAATAAGTTCGCAGATTGTTCAATTTCAATTTTTCGCAAGGGGAAAACAACATGATGGGGAAACTTTATATCTAATTTTTTTTTCATCATGTTGGGTTCCCCTCAAGTCCTTATTTAATACGTAAACATTTTAAATAGTATCCAAGAAGGTTTTAATTCTTCTAAACAGTTAAGACTTTCTGGATGCAAGTCCCCCCCAACATCCAAAATTAGTTAAATTCTCCCCTTAGAAAAATATTTTCTTGTCCACATCCTCTTTTCCTGTTCTTCTTCATCGCCTCTTTTTTGTTGCCTTAAATCTCCTTTTCTCCGTTTTTTGTATTGTCCATAAATATTCTAAGCCGAGTAGATTATTTAGGATTAAACACATACATGTATAATGTCCATGTATAAATAAAAATTGTAAGAACGTGAAGCAAAACAAAGAAGTAAAGTCCGCACACACAAAAAATATGGAAGGAAAATTTATCGTTGTTGGTTGTGAGGAGAGAAAGATAATAGGCTATTGAGACATCGGACAGAAGGAAAAAAAAACTTGTGCTTTCAACTTTTTCATCCCATTCAATGAATTATGACCTCTAATAATCCATAATGCTGATATTAAAGCTGCTTTTACAGGTTTATGGAGATGAAAAAGTTTATGTAAATTTCACACACAACAAAACCCTCAATTGAAAGAAGCAACCTGAAGATTCTTCTTCTGTTCTCTCTTGTATTTGTCCGTAGGCGATGAAAAGAAATAAAAATAAAAAGGTAGGTAGAATGCTGATACATGAAAACCTCTCAACTCCTTGAATCTCATATCGATTTATTTCGCCAAACCAATAATAATGAAATAATGTAATGTAGCTGTGAAAATGCTCTTTCCTTTTTGTTCCTCCCCGCTGTTGTTGACTGCAAGTGTTGATGAAAATATCAGGAGCAGCATAAATCAAATCAATGAAGCACTTTCTTTATTTTTTTTGTGTATTCTGCTTCTAACTCTTTAGCAATGCACAATTTGTTTGTGTATTGTTGGCATGAATGTCTATTTTGCCAGGGAAATGTCTGACTAAGTTAAGAGTTGTCTAGATTTGCTGTTGTGAGGGATTGTCTTGATCCTTGTCATATCAGTTTCCCCAATCCCCCTGTCATATCGGCAAAACTTATTACAATGATTGAGAGATAGGCCTGTAATGTGATTCGAACTCATGTCTTCATCAAGAAAAGTTTAATGAAATTTTCAGTCTTTTGTGTAACCATTTGACCACAGAAGCCTTTCTTTCACACTTGCAGATTCGACTTAACATGAAAGAGATCCTGATCACTTATTTGATTTTGTTATTCCAACATTCTTCCCACTGACACCATCCTTCTTGTAATTGAATATCCAATTTGCAGCAAATTCCTGCAAATAACCAACCTTGTAACAATTAATCCGCTCAATTAACACCTGACGTCTATCCAACCCAACAACTACATAACCTCATTAATCTCATCCCTAATAAGCGTCATTAACGTCATCATTAACATACGACTTTCAAACTTCTTCACACCATGCAGCAATAAATTCACTGATAGAGTATACAAACCAACAGCAAAAAAAAAGGAGCAAAAGGAGAGATGTTAATAAATATAAATATAAAAAGCTATATTAAAGCAGTACATGAACATCCATGTATTTATTTTCCTACATCATCATCATCATCATCAGCATCACCATAAAAATACACAAAATGCCGTGATTCCTTTTGCATTATATTACATTTGTATTGGCCCTAAGGTTAGCGTAAAGCCCAAAAAAACAGTAAAGAATTGCTGGTATTATGAAAATATCAAGCAAATACAAGTGTGAGAAACAAATATGGAGAAATGGAAGGTAAATGAAATATCAAAACACCGCATGAGAAACATGAAAATACACGTGAAAAAATAATATTTTCATTATGATTTCTCCCCACAATATAACACCGTGAGTTGGCAAACTAGTAGGGGTTTTTGGTGTTGGAATTCACTTGAGGGAATTGAGGTGGATGATCGAATGAGGTTCTTAGTTTCAGCATGTAGCTTTGGGGTTGTAGGGTTAAGAGTAGGGCTAGGTTCCAATCCTATTCAAGCTGATTGTTTGGTCAAGAATCAATCATTAAGGGATATCCTAAAGTTGATTATTATACTTTCTAGAAATTTTGTATCAGCTACTGCAATTTAATCCCCTAAAAAGCAGCCAAATAAAGAAGAGCGAAAAAACAAAAGTTTTCAATACTATCCGGACTCAAAACAGTTGGGAATTGAGCAACAACAGAATCCATAACTGCAGCAATGGAAGCAACACTAAGTGAATGAGAGGAGATAAAACCGCTGTAAGGTATGAATCCAATATCTAATTTAATGATAGTTTTTTTTTCCTATCTTCTTTGGTGTGTCTATTTATGTTTGTATTTTTTACCGATTGTGACATTCTCGGGGGGAATTTATGAGAAGCATAAACAAACAGACAAACAAAAAACGGGTAGTTGAATGAGATGAGAAAACAGTAGTCAGAAATAATTCTCGGACATAAATACAGCTATAGAAAAAGTAGTTGTTGGATGATTTATTAAACGTCGTTTTAAGGATCAGATCAGATATGAGTTGGACATGAGAAAGTTTTTTTCCCCTTAAGAAATGAAATGGTTCCGTTAGTTCTACAGAAGAATTAAAGTCTCTTAAACTATTGTGAACTCGACAGAGAAATATTTTTATGCTTCATCATACTTTCGGTTGATAATTGAATTCAATGTACTTTTTATACTGTCAAGACTATCGGAACTGGAACTATCCTCTCATGTTTGGTCCGTTCTTTCTGTTAAAAATAAATTCCAACTCTAAAATGCAACACCATCCCAA